TTCTACCCACCTTTACCTCCGTGACGGTGAGATATCGTGATGTTCTTACTGGGCTAGTGTAGCTCACTCCTTATTTAACCATTTCAGATCAGGAAGACATGGTTCCCGAGCCCGTTCCGCAGGAGGACGACGAAGGGGATGCCTAGAGACTCTGTAGTCATACTCATAGTTTTATTTTCGAGTTTCTCTCTTAGTTAGTTTAATCTTTTATATTTTAAGTACGTTTTTGATTTTTCGTGTAAGGGATGTTAACTGAAATTTTGATCTCGCTTCCGCATTTGATATATTTAAATACTCATTTCATTTTAATATTTCCGGGGCCGTTACACACGTGGCCCTCTTCTGTCTGTTGGATCCGTATTTTTCGAGGAATGAATTTGGACTGCTTGATTTGATTAAATCTGATCATTCGATCGTGCCTGATGGGAAAATGCATATGGACTATCCGTGCGTGTGGGATGCGATATGGACTGTTGGATTCACGAGTACATAGATCGCCCGCGTGGCCTCTTGCGTGGAATCGGTACCAGTGTGTCTGCCACGTGGCATGTTCTGCATCACCGTTGCTGCTGACATGGTTGTCTCACATGGCTGTATTTTTTTTACAATTTTACCCAATATTTTAAAATTTTATTTCAAAAATACCTATCTTTATTTACAGTTTCACCCATTTTATTAAGAATTGCTTTCAACCTCATCCTTAATCCATTTTTTCTCAAAATTTTCACAATAAAATAAAGATTAAATTATTTTAATATATTATTTTATTAATATAAAATTATCCCGGGTCAAATTTTCGGGTCCGGGTGTTACATTTAACATATATGAATTAATGTACATATTTAATTTAAAGACTAATTTAAATATTTAAAATATTACATAAATCATTTTAAAATTTTAGGTGAATTTTTTTTTTATATTTATCATCTGTAATTTCATGTGAGGAATATATAAAATATTAATTAATTAAAAATAAGAAGTCATTAAATAAGACAAACTAAATACTTATTAAAAAAAAATTGACTTTCTCCTCTATTTAATTTGATTCTTAAAAGTCTTTTGAATTTCTTTCACTTACTTGCTTGGAAGATGCTTTTTAATTATGTCCAAGAAAGAAATAAACAAGAAACTCACCATGTCCTGTATAATATATATATGTACATATACATACATATATTCTGTATTTTATATCACTAAGTTACGAAGTCGTGGGCCTTTATATTTCCCACATGTTCATTTTATATAACTCATATATATATATATATATATATATATATATATATACACACATCAAGTGCTATATTCTGATTGTAGTTAGAGTGTGCATTTTATCTCAATTATCTGGTTTTGCCTCTTGTAGTCTCAGATCTATTTTTAAAACCAAGTCTTTTTATAACTATATACAGACAAATTCACTTTAAAATCTGTCAAGACAAAAGACAACATATATATACATATATATATATATAAATTTCTTAATTTTTAAATTCACACCAACCTACTAATTAATTGCATATAAAATATAATTGAAAATCGAAACTAAGGTAAATAAATGTATTAAATTTGTTTAAAATAAAAAATATTAAATTTTACAAAATATAATATACACACACACACACACAAGACAAGTCAAGTCAATCTTTATTAGAATCATGACCCGACAAGAAATTCACACTGCAACTTCACTCTCAGATAATTTACACAATCTAATCCTATAAATAACCCCGGTACCTCTTAATTCTTCACCTTCCACCCTTCATATCGTACAACCTCTATCATTATATACATATATATACACCCTCTCTCTGTTTTTCTTTCTCTGGAAGTACATCAATGGCGGAGAAACCCAGCTCTCTTGTCTTCACCGTTCGAAGGCAAAAACCAGAGCTGATAACTCCGGCAAAACCAACTCCTCACGAAACAAAACTGCTCTCCGACATCGACGATCAAGAGGGTCTTCGTTTTCACATTCCTGTAATTCAGTTTTACAGAAACAATCCTTCCATGCACGACAAGGATCCAGCTAGTGTTATCAGACGTGCATTGGGAGAAACTCTGGTTCACTATTATCCGTTCGCCGGGCGTCTCCGGGAAGGTCCTGGCCGGAAACTTATGGTGGAGTGCACCGGCGAAGGGATTCTGTTTATTGAAGCTGATGCGGACGTCACGCTTGGTGAGTTTGGTGATGATCTTCAACCTCCATTTCCGGGCTTGGAGGAGCTTCTTTATGATGTTCCTGGTTCATCTGCAGTTCTGGGCACTCCTCTGTTGTTAATTCAAGTAAGTATAATCTCTTTATTTTCCTTAAATAATATATATTTTTTTTAATTTTTAAACTTTTTTTTTCATTTTTTATAAAACTAAAATTATATAAATACTATAATGATTTTTAATTGTTAATTTAAAATTGATATTTTATTTCTTGTGATAATCTCGTTTAAAATAATAATTATATATTTTTATATTTTTTTGAGTTAAATTAAATATAGATTATAATACGATAATTTAATATATATATTTTTTAGATTTTTTTTTTTAAGTAATTTATGTACTAGATTTAAAATACGTTTCTAATTTTTTTAAAAAAAGTTTATGTATTTGATTTAAAACATATGTTTTTACAGTTTTTTT